ATTTTGTAAGTTCGGAACCGCGCAGTGCCGATTTCGTTACCTGTTTCTCAGAAATTCAGAAGATATCTTCCATTTTACGCATAGTTATAAATGTAAAGGTGTAGAAAATAATTATTTAAATAGAATTTGATCATTAAAATATTCAAAAACGTTTAGAAATCAAGCTTTATGACACAATTTTGAAAATTTGTTGGCGAGATTGACATTGTAGTATCAGTACAATTATTGATTTCTGAGGAATCAAACTTTTACTAATAAAATGGATAATAAATAATAAATTAATAATTAATTATAACATCACACATAAATTTCATAGTTTTTAAAGACAATTTTGACATATTTGTTAAAAATATCTATTTTGCGATTTACACCTGCTTTCACCTGAATTATTTATTTATAGAAAATTACAATAAAAATTCTGTAAATAGGATGAGAAAAATTTAATATTATTACAAATCCAATGATATATAATACATAGCATAAAAGAATTGTTTGACCCCTATAAGCATGATTAGTTCAGTTTTAAAATGCACTCCAATTCATTTAAAACGCTCTATGGGGCAGCCACTAGGCAAACACTCCAGGAATATGGCTAGTGTGTCAAATTGCATCACTTATTTTATATGTGCATCACTCAACTCCAAGTCCACCACATGTCGTCATCGGGTTTAAGCTCAAGAAATGTCCACATTCATACAAAATTACTGCAACGATATATATAACTTTCTTTGGCACTGGACTGTGGGAAATTTATTTGGAGATGGTCATAATTTTGAAGCTAACAACGGTGGTTTAACTCTGACATTATTGGAAAGAAATGGATATTTACTTTGTCTTTACATGTAATGATAATGATGTCGAGGTAGAAGTAGGCCTGAAAAACTATCTTGAATTCTTTATTTTACTTTTTTGTTAAATGTGACAAATTTTCATTACTAAATTGTGATTAAAATTCAAATGTCTTTTTCTGTAAATCAATTTCTTGCAGTTGGTTCTGCTACCTACCTCTAGAAAACAAAATACTACTTGTTTATATTTAATATCATATACAGTTTACCTAAAAACAGTTAAATATAATGTTCAGTTAAAATAAAAAGTAAAAGTAAAAAAAAAAGTAATTGCCTACCTACCTACCCTAATTTTCAGGGACATGTAACCGGAAACACACATATTTTTTTTTTTGGCCTAAAAGCAATTCAATCCATGTAATTGAACATTTAAACAATTTGCTTCCCTCTAATATTACATTTGCATAAAGAGTTTACACCAAAATTGGATCAGCATTCCAGAGAAGCTGAACATGTTCAAAAACAGACTATACTTCTCAAGACAATGTATGTAAAAAGATCTTACCTATATGACGAAGCAGCCATCCTACTTCATAAACACGAGGAAGAACTCTAAAATTGCAACAAAAACTTGTTTAATTGAAAATTAATATATATTTTTTAAGCAAAATTTCTAATTAAAAAGTTACCATTCAGGTGTTGATCAATGATTTTGCATTTAACTTTCAGTATGTAGACATTATTGTTGACAACTTACACAAACGATTACATTACACAAACGATTCTGCATGATTAACATGATTGAGGATTTTGTAAAAGTAATTTCAAAAATTGTTAATTCATGTTTTAATCAATTGTTGGCCAAAGGATCACTTCATTATAAATAGGGATTTGACCTATAGGACCGGGCTTGGTTTTTTTTCTACAAAAACTTTGTCGTTTTCCGTTCTGATTAATGAACTGCATTGGGCTGAATATATACATATAATAATTTGTTTTTCCTAAATCTTTTTTTAACGAGTAGAGGTAGGAGGAACCCTTTCATTGATCTCCCGAGTTTATCTCAAAATGTAATAATTAATTTTTTTTAACTTCTTAATGTTCTTAATGATAATGTTTACTGCCTCTGAAATTCTGTTCTTAAGTCTAGGCAATTTTATCCGTGATTATAATAAAACATTCCATTAATGTGTGCAAATTATTTAGGCCTAAATCAAATCCGAGGGAGTACAGTAACTGATCATTATAATTATGTAGCCGAAATCAATTATTGGATTTAGAGGGGACCAAGACCCTTTCCTTTTTGTGACCAGAAAAAAAATAAGATTTACTTAATTAATCATTTTTGTTGTTACTGAGGGCACCTACTTCGACCCCTTTTTATTTATCTTAAAGAAATAATTTGAACGAAACGTTTGACAGATTGATACTCAGTATTTGAGTGTAGTTAGTACATGTTTATATCACAAAGTATGTATTTTATTGACCATCACATGTACAAGTGCAAGTACCGAGGAGTGAATGATTCACGAATATATTACTTTTACGATATTTTTTCATTAAATATGACTTACATCATGAATATTGCTTTTTATGTCTGATTTATATCGAATCAAAGTTATTTGCTTGACATTTATAATCCGTTTTCCATTCCGTTCCGCTGTTTTCCGTTCCACGTTAAAAAAATCCTATCTCAAATTATTACTTACATCCAAACCTATCAAAATATCACAATTTTATTTACGGGCAGGCCTGCCCTGAAAGGACTTCAAGGCCAAAATTCATGCAAAAATCGACATATTAACGGACAAAATGGTGTTTTGGCCAACTTTGGAGGTTTATTGTAAAGCTATAAATAATAAATTTTAGGTATAAAATACAAACTTGAAAAATTTAGACATATATATAGTATAAATTAACAAATAAAGATTAATTTTAAAATGTCACTTTTTCTGGAAAATTGTTCTCTCCTATAGGTCAATTCTTTTGTCAAAGTGAATACATCCTTTGATCATATTCATCATTGGTATGACTGTATTATCAAATTTGGTGCTCAAAATATTGCACCATTTCTGCGTTTATCCACTAGATGTAAATAAAGCAAAAAAGTGGGTAAAAAAGCTACTTTGAGTCTACAGGTGCAAATACCTATGAAGATATCAATACTCAATAGCTACGTAGGTATAGAAATAGTCTTTGGTCAGGTTGGGAACAATTTCCCTGCTTGAAAAGTGGATAGCAAGTAAAGTGGTGGGGTGTACGTCACCTTGGACTTAGGACATGACGATCTCAACACGTAGGACTTAGGACATGACGATCTCAACACGTAGTCTATCAATTGGTGACCTATACATTCTATAACTGCCTGATATTAAACACCACCTCTTTCTTTAAAAAAAACACCCTCATTGGCTCATTGCTACACTAGTCAGAGTTTGCAGGATCTTCTATATATACACATATTTCCTAGTATGAACAATGCAGATGAATGAAAAATACCCATCTGAGTAAATATTGAATTCTCGTCCAACGTAAATTTACCAACCAAAAAAAATTTGATTTGATAATATATATTTACAGTTGCAATGCTCTCAAAATATGACTGTACAAGTTAAATAAAAAAAAACATGTCAAATTTTTTACGCTGCAAGATGATTGATGGGTGGGGGATTGGGAATAGCAACTAATACATTAGGTAGGTTGTGCAACTAGATTTCTTTAGATCTATGCCAATGTTCAAAACAGGCATGGTACATGTAAAAGCGCTATCGATACAACCATTTTCAATTCAGAGCCATTTTAATTTCGATAGTTTTATTGACCACCTTGATTATGACTCTTCTAACATGAAGCCATTCATAAAGGGTAAATAATTGCTAAAATGTGAAGTAATCCCTCTTATTAACTCATGACAATTAAAATGCAATTACAATTTTCCACTGAAAGAATAAAAATTGTTAATGGATAAGTATTTCGTGTTGCGTTAATAGATCTTCTTTCTAAATAAAGCGTACATGTACCTTTAAGTTTATCTGCTGATATATTGTCAACTTTGTGTTAAACAATCAATCAATCAAGCCTTTGGGAAGTCAAGGTCACTGACCTTCGTGTTATTTGAAAGAACTTAATTAGTGGAGTATGCATACCAAACATGAAGTCTCTATCCCTTAAGTCATGGTTCAAAAGTTATGGAGAAAGTTTGAAAAAGCTATTTTTAGCATATAGGTCACAGTCAAGGTCACAAGGTCATTGATCATGGTGTCATTTGAAAAAGCTTAATTTGTGGAGTATGCATACGAGATATGTATGAAGAGTAATGACTAATCGTGTTTAAAAATCCAGACTTGCAAGTTTGTAAATCCAGACTTGCATTAATTTGTTAACAAATGGTTAATCCAAACTTGTAATCGTATCAATTTCGTAGTTTACATATGTAAGTAGGTAATCCCGACATCCAAGTATGCAACTGTATTGACTTTGAATTTACACTATGAATGTGTGTATCTTTGATGTAAATGATGTTGTAAACTTTCCCAAGTCAAAGTGGAAGGCAGTTCTTTAGCAGTTTTTTAACCTTAACAGTTCAGTGCTTTAGCAGTTCTTAGACAGTTTACTAGCCTTCTTCTTTCCCTATGCAGTTTTCCTTAGCAGTCCACATTTTAAGAGTCATTCTCTGTAAGGACCACAGATGCCGTTCAAACGAATACCACAGATTTTAATAAAACATATATGAAAAAATTATGAATGTGTATGAGATTAATTAGGTATATTTAAAATTTTGGGATGTGACCTATCCTCCAGGTTATGGCCCCCTAACACATTTTGTGGCTACCCCCATGTTTGAAAAGGTCAGTTTTCTCCTAATTTGACATAAAAAATTCAAAATAAGTAATGCACTATGGTTGGATTAAGTGCATTAAATTGTGAAAACAAGGTGTGAAGTAAAGATAAAAAATTATTTTGCTTCATCACTAACTCCCCTTTTTATTTTAAAGAAATTTAATTTCCTCCTATTTTTAACCCTTAACCAACACGCTAAATAACCATAATTTCAGTGCCATTTTATAAAAAATCCCAAGATAGGTTTACAAAATATTAACAATATTTTGAAAGCAAACATACTTAATTATTTATTCATAATTATTCTGGGTGTGTGTTTTTTGCTTTTAAAAAATAAAATGCATTTGAAAATTTAAAAAAAACTAGCATTTCACAAAAATATTATCTCCCTTTGTAGAACTCTCTAGTTCCGACAGTGAAGGAAGGTAAAAACAAAAGTATTTGTAAGCATGACGTTTTGCCGGTTTGGAGTTCCTTTTCACAAACGATGTGTTTTACTGATATTTTTATGCAAAACTGCTTAGATTATACAGTATAGCTTCCTTGGCAGATATGATATTGTTTATTCCGAAGACATTCAACAACTCGTGAGTTTTAGCAATGGCCATGTATTGTCTAAAGTAGGTCGTATGCCATGTGTTACACTTGCAAAATTATTTAGTAAATACAGTGAATGACTATCGAATGTGGACGTTATTTTAACTTTTCTTCAAAATAAAATACAAAGAGGTTAAGAAGGAAGTTTTGTCAAATTCCAAATCTTCTAACTTCACACCTGCATATTGAAAACACCAGAGGAGATGGACCAAGAATTCCCCTCCAAACAGAACATGTGAAAATTTGAAAGCAGGTCATTTGATCGGTCAAGCTGGTGCAACGCTACCAGTGTTATACACCATGCAGGTACACGTAAGTAACTACAATTTCTGATACACAATATAATAATATTTGTTTGTAGAGTTATGAGTAGAAGAAATTATTGAAAAAGAATTAAATCGAAATGAATGCAAAAAGGTACAGTCCAAAGACTATACTAAAGCATTTCTATCTACATGTGTAGGTCTTAGAAGTGGGTAAAATAGCTACTTTGGGTAGCTTTAACCTACATACATGTACATTGTAGCTATTAATAGCTATGTGGGTAGAATAAGAAATAATCTTTGGACTTGACCTTGTAAATTTCATTTTCCTTGTTCATCTTGAACACTCTATAATAATGAATGCATTTAAAGTTTAACAAGATATTAATTAAAAAGTTTCCCCAATTTGAATTATTGTACACGGTTATTTATTTTAGACCTGTCAACATACAAAACTAAATAAAAAGTACCGTTAAATATGTGGTGAATGGCAAAAAAAATTAATAACTCATTCTTATATAATTGTGCTTTAATTAGTACCTGTAAGGAATTGAATTATTTTTATGAAAATATACAATTTATTGTAGCATGCTGCTGTGTGACCAAGTGAGGGGCATCACAAGGAAGGGGAAGATATTTAGATCATTCATGGAGCCTTCAACATCGTATTAAAACCAAATTATAAAGAGGTATAGTGTCCATGTACTATAATTTTGACCCAATAGCCTTGACTTCTATATCTTTCAAGAAATTAGACATTGGTAATAAATTTTGAAGGATAGAGGATACAGCTTTCATGTTCCTTATATACATTAACTACTATTATTGACCCACTTTTCAAGGTTCTGTGATGTTCCAATTTCACCCATTTGAAATCATCCTAATTATTCTATACAAATATTTTTTACTTCAAATTCAATTTTTGTGCAACTTTGAATAAGAAATAAAAAAAAAATACACTGTAAAACTTATTTATTTTATTCATTAAAACATGACCCAAGTTGTTATTTTCAAAAATTTTGACACGAGTTTCTACCATTTTCCTTAAGAAACCTCTCTACACTGAACACTAAAGAGTTACGATTCTGTTCTATTTATCTGCCCTTAGATTTAAATGCCAATAAATATACATTTACACTATATTACTCAATTTATAATCAAATCAAGTATTCTTAACATTTTAAAAGGGCAAGATAGTTTAAATTCTAAATTATAAACATGTTGTTTACATGTATCTTCTCCATAGAAGTAAATAGCAATTATTTCTACTGATACTGTGTTGTGTTTGAACATTTTTTTCCTGGGGTTAAATGCCATGTATCATGTATTGAAAATGAAATAGAGAAGCTTATTATTTACATCTTTATTCAATATAATTTTCGCAAAGTCCAAAAATCATTTTACACTGGTGTAGAGAGGATGTATGACCTATTACATGTACAAGTGTAACTGTTTTCATGATCCAATTGGTTCCTTTAATCATTTTTAGCTCTACTGGTCAAAGACCAGAAGAGCTTATGCGATAGTAATGTGTCCGTCGTCTGTTTGTCTGTCTGTATGTCTGTCCCTCTGTAAACAGTTTTTCAAAATGCTACTCCTCCTACAGTTTTGGTCTGATTTCAATATAACTTGGCACACAAGTAAACTACAATAAGGTAAATAATTCTGTGTATCTGTTTTTGTCATTATTCTATTGATTGCTTTTGTAAATGTCCCAACTGCTAGTTTTCTCTTTCTTTATTATAAGTAGAAGTACAAACCAGTAGAGCTACAGTCTTGACAGAGATTTCTGGTTAACTTAAGTCTTGTATTATCTACCTGGTAAATCTAAATACTTGTATTGTCTATTACAGAACTCAAGAAGCCAGAGTTTTACATTTAGTCATGACCAGTCATGACATTCAGCAAATGAATGAGTATCTGATGAAAATTAGTGAGAGTTTTCAGAGAATTGGAGATACCGTCGGGACACCTTCACTAAGCCTGCTAAATTATACCACAACAATATAATGACAAACATTGCTGTTATTCTCCCAAAGAACATCAAAGAAATACTGAAGTCTTACAGTATCTGAAGAAAATTCTAGTCTTGCCTAGCATTATACCTGAGGGGAGTTTTGACCACTTATCCTGAAGTTATTCATGCATAATAACATGGGTCCACTATGCACTACTATGAATATGCTTCAAATAATTTAAAAAAAAGAATTTAATAATGTACATTCTTAAATAAAAGATAAAAAGTGTATAAACAGTAGTCTCATTGCATGTAAAATGATAATTCCATCCTTTGTTACAATTATTGAATTTTTATAAAATTGACAAAAAAATTAAAGAAATCTATGTCAAAAGTGTCTATTATTATTTTCAAGGCTTAAGGATAACGTTTACTTGGATGACAAAAATATTAACTGATAAAAGTGAAAATCCACCTATTGTACATCTATGTACTAATTATTCACTTAAGTATGTCATTGCCCTACTATTCCTGCTAATGGCTCTTGGGTATTTCATAGAAAATATATAATCATTTTTCACAATATGACCACAATTTGCCCCCCCCCCCCCTAATATTTTGCCAATATATAGAATTCTATAATAAACATAGCTACTCTATGCTTGTGCCCCCTCAGAAAATATGTCTAATGATCTTTTGTCCTTATTTTGCTTTTGGTAGTTTTCACTGAGAATGTATGGTTGTGCCCCCCCCCCCCCCCTCTTCCAACTGATATTGCCTCTTACGAACCTGCAATCAAGTTGAAAATCTGAAAAACAGGAACTCTTATTACTTACATGTATGGCCTCATTTTACTTTTGTTGTCCTTATTCTGCTGGTATTATAATTTTATGAGCTCAATAATCAAATTATTTAGATATGTTGCTGTGAATGGTTTGTGTTCATGTATACATACATATTTTTGAAATTCTTCATTGTGTATCAATCAATTACAAGTTTATGAAATAATGTTTGAGCTTTAATATAAATTGATAATTGAAAAAGTTATTTTAAAAAAAAATAATTAGCCCGAACTTTCTCTGCACACCATAATCTTTTATGTTTTCTTTGAAAAAATAATAATAAATAATAATCTTTTAATTTTCAGATTTATTTTCAGTTATCAATTGTTTATTTAGTCCATTTAAACCATTTTGGATTAAACACGTTGTACTTTATAGCATTCTGTTTTTGTAATCAGAAATCCTGACTTAAGGTCATCCAGTCAATTCCTGAAAATGTGGAGAAGCAATTATACTAAATGTATATATTCTTCAGTTAACTTTGAACTCTTGACCTTAGCCTTACGTTGTGATAGAGTTAATAAATTAACTTTTCATCGACTCTTTTTTTTCAGCTAAATTTGTAACAAATACGTTTAATAGCTGAAGAAGATAAAATTTGAGTCATAGAACAGGTGTCATTAATCCCCAGCCTTTTCCTCATTAAAAAAAAAAGGGGGGGGGGGGAATGAAATATATGTGTATTACTTTTATACCTTAAATATATCTACATTTCATTTAAAGAATTGATTAGTAGCATGATTAATATACACTTCAGTTTTGTTAAAATTTAGCCCCAAAAGTGATTTTGAACCGATAAAAACATGAAATGAAAAAAAAAATCCCATGAGCCCTCCCCTGCGAGGTGAAATTCATAATTTCAGGAACTTTTATGAATCGTTCATGAACATTCATGATGTGTTCATGAACGGTTCATGACTGGTTCATAAAGATGGTTCATGAACTTTATTCATGAATATATTCATAAAATGTAGTTCATGAACAAATGATGAATTTATATGAATATTGGTAATTTTCATTTTAAAGACAGAAAAAATGTAGAGTTCAAGGTATTATGAATGTTCATGAATTTTCATGAAGACTAAAATAATTGACAAAAATGATTGACAGAAAACACTCATTACTCTCATAATGCAACTTTTGCATGCAGATGCAATTGTTGAACAAGCCCCTGGCATAATTTATATTTAATAACATTCTTTCACCAACTATCTGAAAAAATAAATCATGAAATCTCTAAACATTTCGTGTTTTTCTTTAATTTTAATTAAACAAACACTGCATCACCACTGACAGCATTTTTTTCAAATTGATTATTTATGTTTCTTCATAATTTAAATTAAACAGTTATATTCATCATAATGTGCTTTAAATAATGTCATTTTTCATCACACAACTTTTTCGACCGAATTTTCTCTAACATCAAACTTTAAGCAAGTTGCAAAATAAAAAATTCACAGTTTCTTTTACAATGTTTTTGAGACAAATATAAAAGCATATACCACTCAGATCTACAATATAAGCACACTTTTTAAAATGTATGTATTCTCAATGAAACTGCAAAGTATTTTACATCAAAGGTTATTAACAGATATATCCAAGAAAAAATAAGATTACTGGGGGATCACCTTGGTTAAATTAATGATAATCAAGTTATGATATACATGTAATGCAGTAAACTAAAGTATGCATTTTTTTTTAAATAAGAGGTTAGATTCATTAAATGACATCGGCCAAGGATTGGGAGAGGTCATTGAAACCTCAACAGGATATACATTTACAATAAAGTGCCAGTGGCCAATGTACATTTACTGTACAAAATTAGTGACTAGAGTGACAAACACATGTATTAAATGCAAAAATATATGTAGTACACAACTACATTGATACAAAGATCCCATAAAAATGAACAGTTGCTATTTTCCACCAATGTACGTGCCAAAGATCCCAATTATGGAAGATACAAAACTTCTGACATGTTGCTAGAATCACATCCTCAGATATCCCATGAAATTTGCAATAGAGGGCTGACAGATATTTGGCATCACCAATGGATTCACTTTTAGTACGAAGGCTCAGCAAGTTCGATGTTGATCATTCAAACAGACACTTCAAACTTTCCTTGCACAATTTCTGAAAGAGGAGATGACCATTTAAGATGTATCATAATTGATATCAGTATAAATATATGACAAATAATAAACTAAAGCTCTACAAACAATTGTTCTTTTCTACCTGGCAGATCAGTTTACTGTAGAATATGAATTCACTGTCTTGCAATTTTTTGTTCAAATTAGGATTAATTCTGATATTAAAATGTAACTAGAGGTACTGTGAGCGATGAGCTCACTAAATGATACCCCCCACCTCCCACATGGTTATAACTGGTGAAAAAGTCCATGTTTTCCTGTGGCCGGGAAACCTAAATTATGTGTCGGATCAAAAAGTAAAATAGAAGGTGCACAATGGCAATATGTAATAAAGATTCTGTGAAAGTTTCATCAAAATTCATTCAGCGGTATGAGAGGAGTTGCGGATAAGAGATGGGTACCCCAAAGCGTAACAGACGTACGGACGGACGGACGGACAGACGGACGGACGGATGGACGGACGGACGGAATTAACGATTTCTATATACCCTCCCGCTTTTCAAGCGGGGGGTATAAAAATGTGAAAAGTTTATAGACAACAGACAAACACAATACTGTGACACTGATCAAAAAACTCACTTAGGCCTTAAAATGGCTCAGGTGAGCTTAAATGAAAAGGCTAGAGCTGAAGCTCAATGACTGACTAACATTAAAAAAAATTAATTTCAATTCATGTGATTTTATTGATTAAGAAAATAATGAAGAAATCTTACCATTTTTTTATACAGTTCTTGTCCTAACTCTTGTGAGCATCCGGATTCCTGTAAAATGCATGTATACTTCATAGAAGATGATATCTTTGATTAAATTTGATCCAAAATAATTATACATACCCATGCTGTTAGCATGTTTAGATTACCTTTCAGAATTCATTGTTAAAAATAATAAGGATATGGAAATTAGGCATGTTAAGAATATAAATCTTTAAATGTTGTTTACTTGGCATAGTTGCAATATTTATTTTAATCTTATGCTTAAAGACATAGATTAATAAAATCAAAGTTAGTTTATTTGTTTTGAATGATAATTTGAGCTGGTTCTCACCATATTCACAAGCCTAGTGACTGATTGGTTAAGCATCTACATGTATATGCACTTTTATCAAAGGCCAGGGCTGTGAAAATCATCTCAGGCAATGCAGCAACTATTAAAACAATCGAAACATGCAAGATAAGAGCTGAAAATGGTCTTGAACATGCATTACAAAATATATAATTAATTACATGTACATCATACTCTGTAAATGTTATCTTGAACAAAGGAAGGTACAGGTAAAATTCTTTACATCAGTTCGATTCCAAGCAAGGAAATTCGGGTTAAAATCAATGACCTTAATGATATGTATAGATTTGTTAAATAATGATTACAGAAATAGTGCTTGTCCTAACGATTTCACCGTCGGGCATTTTATGTATGGTGCCCGGATTAATCAAAAGTAGCAGAAACATTCTTCGTTCGAGGACACATAAAATACTGTACAATATTGTACCTACCGGTCTTAAAAATGTCGTCATCTTCTTCCATCCCAAGCTGACCATGATCCCCCTGTTCGTGACACTCATTCCAACTTTCCTACTGTGGAACATCAACATGGTATTCGATATTTTTGAATTTCGGTGTTGTTAAAATTGATTGTTCATCGAGCCCGACTTCGATCCCGATGTTATTGTAATATTAGTCCAATTTAATTGATGACGTAAAAAGTTCGAATTCTTCATTGATAAAAGTTGTTTTGATATAAAAAAAAAATTGTATTTTCAGTGAAAAATTATTCAGATAGTGTTTGTTATTTTTTTAAACAGAAATCTTGGAAATTCGAAACTAACGTATTTCTTAGCTCTACCGTACATTTTTGAAAAGGCGCAAACTTGAAAACGCGCGAGACGTTGGAAGTGGGAATTTGGAGAGTGGAAGGATAGGTATTTGTGATCTATAATATTTGCATAGTCACTGATCTTTGTCAACTTTTGAAGAAAATAACAGAATATGAAGAAGGAAGACTATATATAGGATTGATCTACTTCATAACTGGTGAGTGACAAAAAATGGAGGCAATCACTGAGTCAGAAATCTTTCTGTAAATGTTACTGTCTATTTGTAAAATTAATAAATATGTCTTTTTTTTTAAATGAAAGTTTTGTCTAACTTTGCTTTGAGTTTGGATCCAACCATATAACATACATTAATTATAGACTGAGACTCGAAACATTCATAGGCCTGATTGATCTACAAAATGGCGGTCCAAGAAAATAGGCTTAAATTCCATTCAGAATGTTTTTATTTGGAAGTGCCTATGATGCAAAATTAAATGCAATTAAAATGCAAGAAAATACACAAAAAAGTCTTGTTTTACAATCATGGGTAATTTCAGAAAATCTTTCTTTTTGAAGGAAAAAGAGAAGCAGTTCACAAATGTTGATGAGCAGAAGACAAGAAACTGGCTGCAAAAAAAAATCTGAGCTCTTGAAAAAGAAAGAAAAAAAGAATTGAAAATATGAATGATATTCAATCAAAGGATCCAAATGATGAAATTCTGGAAATTCCACATGGAGAGACAATAAGGATTTTTGAATTGACCATCTCTGCTATAAGAACTGCTTGAAAGCTGTTACCCTGGTGCTGAACATACTTTTCTCCTAGACTGGAATTAAAAATTGTTCAATTTCTGGCATTAAAACACAATTTGAAATATGCTGAGGAAGGACCCCCCTCTCCTTTTGACCAAGTAAGGTTAAACATTCTGCAAAGAGTTGCATTTGAATTGAAATTTTTTATACTTTTACCAGGAATGAACTACATTACTCATTTACTATGGTTTAATGTGTCAGAATTGTCTATTTTAAGTTTTTTGACAAAGATTTTGTTGCCATGGTTGGAAAACAAACAACATTTCTGTGAAATCTTTCAAGATGCTGTATTATAAATCATCTACTGTTACTTTTTTAGCATGACTTCATGCATTTTCATGAATAAACATGAATAATAATATTGGATTTTTTGTTTACAAATAAGCAAGAATATTCATGAAATGCTAATGGTTCATGAATTTTATTCATTCATGAACATTCCTGAAAAAATTCATCAAATTATTCATGAATAGTTCATGAAGATGCAATGAACTTATTATTGGACATTCTTGAAATGATGAATCTTCATGAATATGACTGTTCATGAATTATTCATGAAAAAAAATATTCATGAATATTCATCAATTTTCTTTCATGAATAAAAATTCATGATTTGAAAATGTCCAATAATAAGTTCATAGGATCTTCATGAACATTTCATGAAGATTTCATGAATAAAATTCATGAAAAATTCAAGGAAATTCATGAATTATTCATGATCGTCTCGCAGGGGCTGAGTGTTAACCACTGCTATGTTGCTATCCGCCCCTAAAATGATACATTTTCATCATTTAATTCCCTGTTAAGGTTGTTTTACATAAACAATGTCCTCAAAAGAGGAAAACAAACTCTACAAAATATACCATATACAATGTATAACGCAGTTTTCCAATCCATATCTGAGGAAATTCGGGATTATGGGTTATTTTCATTTTGATATTTCCCGAGTTATCTGAAAAACACATGTTTGGAATCTATATGAAATGAAAGACTATAGTATAGATATTTGGAATAAACAAGAAGTTTAAAAAACCTATCTTGGAATTTAAAGATAAATGTAATTGAAATAGAGGGTAAAATGGATTTTTCTGCATTTTGAAAAAATCATGAAATTTTATATTTTTAGCCTTATCTCAGCTTGAAACGCCTCAGGCAAAAGATTTAATTCTTAATTATTTTAATTATATAAGAATGCATAAAATAAATTATATAATTGAAAGTGGTCATATTTTTCGTGTTTAAAGGAAATATTGGGGTTAAAATTGCTATATTTCATGAAATAGAACCTGTCAAAATGGCCATATTTGTGTTAGTTACGGTTGCCATGGCAACGGACACCCCGAAACATGAACTAAGGTGGTTTTCTCAGTTAGACACCTGAGTACACTCTAAATACAAAAAATTACGTATTTCGGAGACATTCGTTTTTACGGCCTCCTTGGATTCTTTGGTTTTTACAGAGAATGACTCTTAAGCAGTACTTAGCCAGTTCATTAGCAGTAACTTAGCAGTTGCTTAGCAGTTTCCTTAGCAGTATCTTAGCAGTCAATAGGAAGGTTAAGGAGAACTGCTTAAAAACTGCTTAATAACTGCTAAGGTGTTTCTTTTGTTTGCTCTACTTCTGAGTGACCTACATATAAATTTGAAAATTTATTAACTGCTAAAAAACTGGTAAAAAGAATGCTATAAGCACTATTCTTGTCTACTTATAAGATAACACCACCCATATACATGATATATGAATACAAAAATGCATATAATTTTTGCTTCCAGGGTAATTTATTGAAAAAATGACATCATATATGGGAATTTGACTTAGTATTGAGATTTAGATCTAAGGTATGAATTGTAAATGAGTCCTTTCATTAAGTCCATTTTCTTGCATAAACGTTAGTGGCATCTTTACAGCTTGGTTAATTGATACAGTGGACTAATCTACATGCAGATCCCTCTTTCAGTAGCTTATAAATTTATTTGCAAATATTTTAATTTATATTAAGTACTTATAATTAAAATATACAAACTATATTATATGTTTTATAATTTAATATTAATAAAACTTAATAGGGTATGCCTATTATATCACAAGCCCACACACTTACCATATTTTCTGAAGCATACTTTAATTACTGCCAACAAATCTTTTAGCAATTTTCCTATATCACCCAATTCCATTGTTTGATCAGATTTTTATAATAATGATGATAATTTCACATCCAGTCCAATGTGGTGATCACAGATAATATTGTATTTTCCAAAGCATATTTTACTTCACTGTATGGGTATAAATATATATAATATCCCAGACCACCACAAACATTTTCACAATTTGTAATTTTGAACTGATGTGGAAAAGGCGCACAAATCTTGACTGGCTTTCCTCATTGGATACAACCCTATAGTTTCAAGCAACCAAGGGGGACACAGCAGGTTGTTAATGTAACTAGACGGCTGGATTTGCAAGTTGATGGGATAAAGATTAGAAGCTCATATGCTCATGCTTTTTATAATATGAAGCCTCAATTTATTACAAACTATTGTATAATTTCTAGAAAGATTTTCAGTATATTTTTTTTCTATTTAATTTTATTTTCTGTATAAGAACTCCTGCCTGGCCCCCAATTATTTGTGACGTTATCATCAGGAAGCATTAACAGTAACACATGGGCAGTATGAAGACTAGTGAAAGTTAGGACCACCAAGAGTGAAAAAGTGTTGTATTACTTCTTATAACAAGTCGAAATGAATTAGTTGCACTTTTAGCAGTTTTGAGAAACTGCTTGTTTGACTGCTTAAGTTTCTTCAATACTGAACTGCTTACACAAATTCTTAGCAGTTTTTAAGCAGTCTGTAAGCAGTTTTAAGGAATGCTAAGACTAAGACTGTTAAGAACTGCCTAAAAACTGCCAAAAAATTGCCAGACTGCCTAATAACTGTTTATAAACTGCTAAAATAAGCAGTTCATTTTGACTTGGGTTGTTTTCCAGAATTTATATATTTCCACGCTCTGAATGAAATACAAAAACAATGCACAAGTCTACAAATGTAAAGTCTATATGTTTGTTGAATTTTGTTGATGCAAAACTATGGTAAGGCATAAGTGCCACAATTCTTTTTTAATGTTCTTATTTAATTCCTCTTTCATATCTAAAATTTTTGTTTTTCAAACTAAATAAATTCTAAAGACTTCATTTTAATTTTAACTTATTTTTTATATTTTCCAGTTTTATTTTATTTTATTCATTCCCATAGGAACCGATGGCAGGGGGCACAGGGGGGAGGGCATGCCCCAATAATGTTGCCGATATGTAGAAAACTAAAGAAAACATGGCCGCTAAACTTTTGTGCCCCCTCAATAAAAACAACTGAGAACTTTTCTCAGGGTGCTGGGGGTGATTTGGTTGATATTACACAAACTGAAAATTTATGGCTGCCCCCATCCTCAAATGAAATTGTTTCTTACCGACCTGTTTGCATCTTTTTGTACGTCATGTATTTTGAATCTATCTGATATTTTGAATCATGTTTTACCCTAGACTTAATTATTACTATTTTTTATTAACAACTATAAGAAGAATGGAGAGTTTGAATAAGAAAGTAGGACTAAGAATCCGAATCAAATTTAAACGAAAGAGGTGCTACGGCCATTTTTTAAACAAAGAGATCTTACTCAAACAGCTTAGTATGTAGAAAAATTTCTCAGAAACAATATTTTTTTTTTAATTATTTTAATAACCGTTAGGCGTATGATATAATTCTTGCTTTTTTCCTCTCTTTTTCAGGCCTAAAGGAAGCAATCTCATATGGGGGGATTATTGGGCACAAAACAAAAATTTCTTGATACCCCCCCCCCCCCCACCCCCCCCCAAAAAAGATTTAACTGTTGAGGGGACCCCGGCATATAACAATCCTTGATTTCTTTTCTTAATATGTTTTTACCAACAAAATTAATGAGGGGACACAATTCCTGCCTACGGACCTGACCTGGGGCCATAAAACTTATATAAACTCACTTTTTATCTTGATCAGTCCCTTTTCTTCATTGTATTAATTCCTTAGGTAAAAGTGAGACTATGACCAAAAGTGAGCTTGTGTAAATTTAGGGCCAGGATGCATGATCTTTCATATATCATGTATATGATTACTATGTATATCCTCCATTTTTGATTGCCAGCTAGTCCAGCTTATATGGGACATAAATATCAAATTACTTGATCACAGATATTGCAAATATAAATTTTGTGATTCTGTTCTTTTTAGTTAAGGTAGTTCTACACTCTGCACTAAATGGGCTCAATCTTAAAAAATCTGCTTTTATAAGTTAGATATACATTCCAGCAATGGATATAGACACACGAAAAATTATATATGTCAACATGTTCACCTTTCTGCTATTGCCTATCGGAGTACATACCCCGAAATGTAAAATGCTGAAATTTACCTATCCTAGATTTTGATGCATTTAAATGAATTAAAGTCTAATTATTCAACTTAAATACAAAAAATGGAGTAGAAACCTTTTAGTAAACCATATATAATCATTGATTTGCATGATTTACTATACCGTAATTATTTGCACTTTGTTAGGCTAACGTATCAAAATGAAATACCGGTATGAGAAAATATGCTTCACAGGTCAATCTCGGTCATTTTAGAAAAAATTATGGACTCAAACTTTTAAAAATTGCATTCTTTTTACTAAACAACATTTAAGAAAAAGAATAAGCCAAAAAAATTATATGTTGACGCATTACTTTTCATGGTATGAGCTCTACACTAAAGGGACCCCCATAATTTCATTCTTCCAAAAGTAATATATTGCCACATTTTCCTGTAGTACTGTTAAAGATTGAGTGTATACTTGTATTAAAAAGTTGTACATATTTAAAACAATGATAATACACATCCAATACCTATTGTCCCTAAAATTTATCTTATATTAAATACTGTAAAACATTAAAACACCAATTGTCTGTAAATTGGAGACAATGAAAATGGGCGTGATTGACTGATTCTCACAAACTGGATGCTTATGTTACAGAAAGTAAGTATGGTGCAAGTGAATCAAATTTTTTCATATAATAATAATTATTCTAGCCTAAAGATAATTTTGCATTGTCATTGTTGGGTATGCCAGTTGAAGGGGGGAGGGGGTATGCGTCTTGTGAAATAATTATTATATATTCAAAGTAAATTTTGTAATTTTTGATGAAAAAAATAAATTAAATTTGTCTAAGTTAAATCGGGTAGTAATTATCACTATTAGTTTTAACTTGGTCACCGACAATAGTCACCCTGACTTTCATGTACTGAATTAGCATGTTCATAGTCCATGTTATCAGCAGGGCATAATATATCATT